TTTTAAATTATTTATTATTATTATATAATTTTATTTAATTTTTTATATAAATATATATGGTTATGCAATACAAGAGATTATCTTGTCGATTAATTTATATGACATACAGACATTTTAATTATTATTTATTCGTAATTCACTTGGCTTTGTAAGCAATTTTTTATGGCCATTTTTTATCAATAATTTTTTACTTTATTACTTTTATTTCTTTTTCGTTTTAATTAAAAATTCATATTAAGAGAATAGGAATATCATTGCTAATCATCATATCATTGCTAATATTCTATACATAATTAAAAAAATCATTAAAATATTTTTATAATCTTATTATTATTTAATTTAATTTTATAACAATAATTAACTTCGACGATGAAAAAATGTAGGCATTAATTTCTTATCTTATAACATTTAAGAGAAGACAAAGTCAAATTATGTTATCTTCTTTGACGAATGCGACTGTGTCGCTCGTAGATTTCAATTGCGTGCACAGTGTCAAAGATCGAATTATATTAAGACTGAATCTGTTTTGTCGTTAAATTCCGATTAAGCAATCGACTAAATTGGAATTATATATTCTTCGTATGGTGTTAATTGTATGATAATATTAACGGTTATAGTTTTGTTTTTTTCGCAGCTCTAAAAATACGATGTATATTTGTTACTTGAAATAAACAACGGTTATAGTAAGAATAAGACTTTCTACAAAGATCTTTAAGAACCATTTTACAATTATTTACAAATATATGATTCGATTCATAGAGAAATAAATCTTCCCCGTGCTAAGCTATTTCTAAATTTAAATAAATTCAATTAAATTCGTCAACAGGATAATTTCATTTCTTTTTACAGCCGTGTTTCGAACCGAAATTACGAAATGGTGTGTCAAAGAGCAATAATGTGAAAAAGGAAGAGAAGAACTTCTTGTTGGATGATATGGAAGGTAATTCGTGCTAGCACATTCTGCTCTTGTCTCGTCGCATGAAATGACGAAAACTCTGCACGAGCTCTGCACCGTGTCGGAGATCGCATTCGCGGGACTGTTCCGCGTTTATATACAAGACGGCGGCGAACTTTAGTATTGTTGTTAAGTTTGAAAATCTGTGTTGATGGAATGCGCACGAGTGCGTTATATCGACGACGATTTCACTCCAACTTGGGAAAGAAAGCCAAAGGTCTTTTTAGAAAGTCCTATTTTTTAGTATATCATACACGTTGAGCTGTGTTTTAGAACCATTTTTTCACTTTAGTAGTCATTAAATTTATCATTTAACGATGTTAGACATTTGTTTTAGCAATTATAAAGCTGAACTTTACGTTTTTCTAAACCTGCCGATCGCAATCCCTCGTGCATAAGCAATACTAAAGTTTTAAATAAAGACGCGAGATGTTATAAAATTTGAAGATATAAATGATTTTTTTAATTATATCATGAATTATTAATTTTATTATATTATTTTTTTATTATATTTTATTATATACATATTTCTTTCAAACATTATATAATAATATGAATTTGTTTCTGAATTTGTTTCTGAAACAATATGAGAGAGAGAGAGAGAGAGAGAGAGAAGAGAGAAAATTTTAAATTTAAATATATAAATATAAAAATATTTAAAGTATAGAAACATAATAATTTTTAATTTAATAAAATATACAATTTTTGACAGAAATATATACAGAATTTCGAATTCGTGAGATTGTATTATCAAAAAAAAAAAATGAGAGGATATGATATCGATATTTAAAACAAGCCAAGAGATATACAGTTTAGAAAAAATTTGTTCTTATTCTATCTAATAGATTTACCTGCTGAGCAACATAATTCTGATATAAAAAATTTTGTAATACTTCTTTATAGTTTCGTATTGTATTTTTTTCGTTTCTCTTAAATCATTTAGAAGAGAACTCAAATGTATGCAAAAAGTAATATCGCAGTCACAAGGGATGCGCAAAAGTTGCCTTAAGCGATAATTCTAATCATTGCTCAAAGTACCGCTGAGTACATTCCTGAATGAAATTTAGATCGTGATATGGCGTCGCAGAGATAAGTGATTCTCTTATAACATTTTTTGACTGAGTCATCTGTCAATGGCTTTACGGTACATAATTATATTAGTAATTTTATTGCATCAGATCATTATTCAACATTTAATTCCATTTGTCATTCTTTGATAGTTATCGCGTTGATGGGAATATTATCGTAAAAGCTTCATATCTCGATTCAAAACGCTTCTCTACTTAACTTCATTCTCAGTTTAATCTATTCACTTCGTTTGTATACATTTCCGTAATCATATTCAACCGCTAACCATTTTTTATCATACTGTGAGTACAACATACACGTGTATATATATATATGTATACATCTAATATTTATACGTGTACATATATGTATACATCTAACATTTATGAATATACGAACGATGAGCTCGAGTTGGATCGTGTTTTACGCGTCTATGATCCTTTAATGTGAATTTCTACCGCTGTTGGATTAATTCATTTCGAGAAAGACGTTATCACTGACGTAAATAGTAGTCATATGAAAATTCATATGGCATTGTCTGGCAAATGCATATAATATACGTATACATATTATACGAAATGTATATTAGATGAAACTAGAAGAATATTCAAAGAGTCACAATGTATAAAAACGATTCTCATCCTCGAATATCGGATGTTCCCAGTGATAAAAAAATACACTGCAGATGTATAAAACTTTGCCAGAAGTTTGTAATATTTATACATCAATGATATCCGTGATTTTTAATTCATCTAATTTGAGGATCGTCAGAATCGTTTTTTTATAGTATTGTTTGAAGATACCTGTAGCGTTTATTTTATTGCAGAACAAATACTCCGTTTATTTAACTGCAAAAACTTTTGTTCTGTATCGATATATGCAACGCTGAGCCAACTTTTAAATCTTTCTTCCAATTTTATTCCGTCGTGAGAATGAAAAATATTTGTCTACCATTTTTATGTTATGTCGCATGTAATTATGATGATTACAGCGCACATATAAAATCATGTGTGAGGCGAATGTACAAATGCACCGCACTTGTACGTTAAAATTGATTTTATTTTGATTATTCTATTCTTATACGGAGAAAGAATGATCGCAAATTTTTATTTTTGTTTTTAGCCCACATTTTTGCGCAAATCAGTCATAATATATAGTAGTTACTTAAAGCGTACAATCTATTACGTACACCAAAGTTACTTTTGTTAGTAATAATAACATGAAACAGAGTACAATATTATTGGTTTGCAGAAATTATATCGCATATTAACTTAAGACATAATTAAACTACTTACTATGCCTATGTTATGTGGAAGCATATATATGGAAATGTTGTTCAATTCTAATTTCGTTGTAAAATGGCAAACCAATGATTATTATGTTGTTCATTTAATTGTTTATTTATAGGATTTATATTATTCTTTATGATACGGAATAATGTTCCTGTCGTTATGACAACAGTTTATTCACAGTACATGACGATGCTTTCTGTTCCTGTATACGGTAGATGTTACTTAAAGAAAAATTGTCTTATTTGCTTTTTAAATCTACTATATAATTTTGTACTAAAGATTTGCGACATTTGCTGACTTTATATATATATATATTTTTTACACACACACACACACACACACACACACACACACACACACACACACACACACACACGCACGCACGCATGCACACACACACACACACACATATATATACAATTTAAATATGGAAAAATATATATGTATGAAAGTTGCGCGATCTATCTATATTGTATTGGAAGATAGCCCTCTCCCACACACTCATCCCCAGAGATGGGATAGTGGATTTATGGTGAAAGGGTTATATTCCTGAAAAATATAAATGCCATAAAAAATGATGTATAATATGCAATATGTTTCTGTACAATTATGTATTCGAAATGATGAAATTTGTTATATGCAACATCTCAAATTTATTTAGTTTAATTATTTATGCAGAAATATTAATCTATTATCTGAATCTTTAATATTCGATCTCTATTCTTTTGAATGTTATATATTTTCTGCATAGAAATTCTTGCGTTTTTATTGCGTTTATTTTAAATTGCGTACTTAACTTGATGTTTTACATTGTACTTATATCATAACTAAATTATTAGATTCTTTTTAAATTATTAAATATAACTTTAAAAGCAACATATTACATATTTTGCATCTCCGTTTACAATGGTTATTAATGCTGGTTGCTATTGTATACAGATTAAAATAAAATAAAATGGATTATCTCTTATTATTGCAGGTGTGTCATTATTATGTATACCTTATTTTGTAAAAACTAATAAAGAGATTTGAATTATAATTTAAATATACGTCTTCGTGTAAAAAACAATTATATTAGATACAAAACAGAAGAAATGAGCAATTATGAAAAATATTGAAATGCCAGATTAATTGGCATCCTATATTTTTGTAGGTTACGTATTATATCTTTAGATTGACTATACATGAATTTTATCCGAGCTGATAAGGAATTTTCATTTCGACTATTCTGTATCACGGATAATACTATAATGTATCCCATTTAAAAAGATATTTGAAAAGACATTTTACCTTTTCAAAACTGCTTATAGAAGGTTGAAGAATTTGATATACATATATCAGGCACTATGTTGTATAGGGCATTATCTTTTTGTTAGTTAACCAAATAAGAATTCTTTTGTGTCCCGACGTATCTGTTCATTTCATCAATAACACATAGATATTTATACTGAGACGAATGTGTAAAATTTTTTGAAATTTAAATTGATGCGAAACCAAGAATTCGACAAGATTGACAAGAAGTATGGTTGGTAGATACTAACGAAGGCCAATCTGAATTAGGCTTAATATTAACATAAGGGGAGCGCTCCACGAATCTGAATTAGGCTTAATATTAACATAAGGGGAGCGCTCCATGAAAGCTCCGAGAGCAAAAGAAACAATCGAACGCTCGTACTCGTGGTAAAATGGCATCCGCATCTCTGAAAGGCACTCGCAAGACATACAGCTTCGAGGAACGGAAAATCTTGATATCATTGATAAACAAGCACGAGATCGTCCAAAATAGGAAGTCAGATCCGATCTCCATATGCAAACGAAAGTCGGCGTGGTCGCGAATCACCGAGGAGTACAATTTGATAGTAGGGTCTCGGGGCGCGCGTTCGACCATACAGCTCAGACGTTGCTGGGAGAATATGAAGGCTTGTAAGCGTAATCGCGATGAAAAGAAATTTCGGTAATTCAGCATTATGCAGCAATTGTTCTCGAGATTAATTGAGCTTGACACAGAACTTAGTAGATAATGAGAGATGTAGTTTGATGAAATTCGTATCTTGGCTTTTGCTTCTAAGAGTTAGAAAGAAGACAATAAAATTTTAAATTTGAAAAGTTTTATTTTTAAAATAAATCTATTTCAAGATTCAGAAGTTAACTAGCAAGTAGTTTGCCTCAGCAATTAAAGAAGATTAATATAAAACAAAAAGATCGAAGAGAATAAATATTAAAATCTTTTGATCTTTTAGTGAAAATATGAAAGCAGTTTGTCAATCGACAAAAGACAAGGCGAGAAATCAATGTTGGGAAGGTATAACTTGTGGTCAGAATGTCCCAAAAGCACCATTGTCTACCGGAACTGTTGGTTTACCACCAAATGTAGTATTCGAGCCGAAGGATTCAGAACCATTCACATTGCAAAGTGTTTGCACTGCTGGACCTCAAAATCCAAACTGCTTAAAGAAGGATGTAGACAGTCGCGAAAATTCAAATTGTAAATATGCTTTTTTTAGCTTCTTCCACATTTAGTATAGTAATCTTGTTAAACATATAATTTTTGAGAAAATAATTTTATTAATTATTTATAATTTTATTTGTAATTATACAAATAAGGAAAGTTAAAACAATAAATAATAATTAAACATCAATGAAGGAAAAATGTGATAAATGATATTTTTATGAATAAAGTAGTTTCTTATTTG